GATGGTGATCAAGTAGAATAGAAGCTCCGTGCCATGTGGGATTTTCACACTTGTACACACTGCACTTCAGCTTACATAAAAATTCTTGGCAAAGTTCTAGTGGTAAAATGTTAATTTCTTGGGGGTTCATTAGAATAACATTAATCATGAACTCTGATTATGTTCACCTTATTCTGAAACTTTATAACTGAAATTAATCAGGTTCTGTAATTAGGTAGAACAATAAAATGGAACCTGGCTTTGTTATTTTAAATAGAGCTATTCATTCACTCAAATGTTAGACTTTCTTTGAGGAATTTAAGGAACATCTGCTTTTAGGTATGGATCATTATGGTTAAACTTGTACCTATTAGAGCTTCATAACTATTTTTCTGTGTTGAAAAACGTTTGCAGTACTTCTGACAAGCAGGTTTATTGTTTGTTTACTGTTGTGATGGACTCGAGAAACCTGGGAAAAAGCATTTCTCCTTTCTGGGTAGCTGAATCTTGATTATAAGATACACACTTCCCCGCCCTCCCCAAGAGAAATCTCAGGGCTTCAGCTGGAGCCTGCCCTCTGGGTGACGGAGGGGATGTTATCCATGCTCCCTGCAAGCTGGCAGTGTGTCATTGTTCATTAGGTGAGGGTCGTGTTTGTGTGTGGAACGTGGAGATTATTCATTCCTACAGAACAAGGAGAACAGGCAGCTTTCCTTGCTGCAGCAGTTGTAAATGTTGCCAATAGCTGTGGCTTCAAAGAAGCTGTGTGCACATGCAGAGAGGGACTGCTGTGGGGCCACCTTTGGCTCAGGAAGTGCCTGACCTACAGAGAGTTGGGAGCTTCCCGGGGAAAGACGGCTGTGTGCTTGGCCCAGTCTTCAGTTCTTCTTTGGGTTTCGTCTCCCAGCTGCTGTGCCAGACAGGTTATTGAGGCTGGGTGTACGTCTGATGTGACCAGGTAAAGCCCTTGTTAAACTCAGCCTTTACTGATGGGATTTGCCTTTAGGAAGCCCAGGCCCTGAGACCTGTACCAAACTGTGGAGCACACAGCCCTTTCCCTCAAGAGAGGAGGATCAGCTGCAGAATGTGAGTTAAGCTGTTAACTTTTCCACCTGTTCAGCAGACCGTTGTTGCGACCCCAGCTGGCAGCTGAATCCAGCTGCTTGTGTGTGACACTGTATGTGATCATATCATTAATTAACATTCACCATCTTTGGGGACTTTCATTGCTAGTGTAGCAATATCAAGAATTCCTTACAGCTCAGTGACACTGGAATCCTGCCTTATTTCTTAGTCATAGTGTTGCTCTTGCACTTCTATTTTGGTTTTTTTTAGCCTTCGTGTTACGGCTTTTGCACAATTTTTGTTCTCATGTCCAGTCTGAGGGTTGGAAATAATAAGAAATAAAACATGCCTTGAGAGAGAAAGAGAGAAATGGAGGGACTGGGTAGAGCAAGCCTAGTACACAGCTTCTGAGGCTGGCATTTTCCACTGGTTGTGTGTTGCCAAAAGAAGTCTGATACTTAGGATGTGTGTCCGAAAACTGTGTCTATTTTGGGGGTTTTTATGTTAGTGGTAGCTCTCAGATCCCTTGAGAATAGTTTGTACTGCAGATTTTCATAACATTTTAATTGAAGCAGTTATTTGCTTTCTTGTATAGATGGTGGGGAGGTTTTTTATTTTTATTTACTTGAGATACATGCAGGAATTTGTCAAATTAGTCATCAGTCTTTCTATACACCCCCTTCCCTAGGGAGGGTGTCCAGTCAGATACTTGGGCTTGCTTTGCTAATGGGTGTTTCAGCCCTGTGCACTGCTGTACCAGCATGATCCACTGATGGATGATGGTGGGAATTGTTGCTTGGAACTAGGTTTATTTTTAAAATTGTCTTGGGTTTTTCATTGCTAGAGGTTATATTGTCTCTCAGTTTGTATTTTGTAAGTTTAATGACTTCCCCCAGCCTTGGTAAAAGGACCTGCCAAGGTCTGGTGATGTCACTTAACTGAGACAGAGGTGGGTGCCATTGGCTACCTCTGTTCCTGGTGTGTGCAAAGGGAAATGATACATCAGAGTGACCCCCTGTTAATAAATACTTGAACCCACAGACTCCTTTCTTCCTGCTGACTGAGCTAGGAGGCTGGGCCTTTGTTAGGGATGCTGTTCTATCCATGGAACGAAAGCATTTCCTGTTCCTCTGCAGCCAGAATTGAACACAGAATCGAGCTGGCAGCAGCAATCTGTTGGCAAGCAGGTGTACACAGGCTGAGGTCAGGATTCAGGAGTGGGTCATCTTCTGGGCTAGCCTAACCTGGGTTTTTTCATCATGAGGATCTTTTAGAGAAGGTACCTACCTGCCTATCTAGCTTTCTTGAAGACATCTGAGGATGTCTTACTGAGGATAACAAGTTTCAGGCTGATGTAGTCCATTTTAAAAAGGGTATCCACTGAACATGTACAGAAAGGCATGTTTGAGCAGTCTGGGACTGGGGTGAGCACGCACCCCCTGCTGCCCTGGATGTTGGATCCATCTTGCAGAGCACTGGAGTGGCCTGCTGGGGTTACAGAGAGCCTGGTGTTTCACATGCATTGCAAGTGATTGTGAGAGCATGAGGAATCTGTCAGGGGCTAATTCTGTGACTCTGCTTCTGCCATTTGTCCTGTGACATCTGGAACTGGGAGTCTTTGATTCACAACTGAGGAAGAGAAAAGGGGAAATGTTAGTGTGTATGTGAATATCTACCCAGCTGTGCCTCTTTAAACAGATACATCAAAAATGTCTTGTGTCTATGCATAAGAAAATATTTTCTTATGTTTTCCCGTCTAAGCTCACCAGTGTCCAGTGCTGGGATGGAGCCTTTGAACACCTGGGCATTCTGAGTAGCTCCCTCAGTGCCAGGTCCTTGTTCACACACTGTAAATACTCGAGGGCAGCGGGTCCAAGTACAGAATAGGAAGGACAGAGTAAGAACCACTGAAAGCACCTTTTGGGAGGGTGGATTTTGTTCCTTCCAGCTCAGGCCTGCTCCAATAGCCAGAATGCCAAAACATTGCACCTCTAAACCATCTGTGGAGTGATTCAGGTAATTCCTTCCTGCAGCCTGAATGCCACTGGGCCTCCAGAGTGTCTGCTAGCACTGGGCAATTAGCAAAATGTATTTTCAAACTATGTGTAGGAAAGCCATCTGTGGAGTGATTCAGGTAATTCCTTCCTGCAGCCTGAACGCCACTGGGCTCCACAGTGACTCCTGCATGTCTGTTAGCAGTGGGCAATTAGCAAAATGTGTTTTCAAACTATGTGTAGGAAAATTCCAGCTCTGTGGAAGGTAACAGGTTCAAGAACCAGTGCAGTGGAGAAAAACAGAACTGAAGTGCGCAGGTGTAAGAGGTGTCTTAAAAAGACAGTTAATGTTTTGAAGAGGAAATAATTTATGCAAAATATGTTACAAAATCTAAGTGCTAAAAAATAAGCAGTAGAATGTATTCTCTTTTGATACTTTGTTTCCACTTAACAGGCACGGAATGCAGATTGATTTGTTACCAATTTTTGAAGTTATTTTTCATTCTTTCACCTTGCTTTGTACAAACAGTTGCCCTGTAATTTTAAAATTCAGTCTTCTGCTTTGAAGGTACATGAAAATATGGTAGGATAAAGATCCAGAAAAATAGATTTTTGGTTATATAATTTCTCTTTATTATAAAAAAAATTTGCTTCACCATATGAAACTTTTTTTTTTCCTATATTTTAGAAGGCTTGTGTTTCCATTTTGTTTTTCACAGAGTCAGCTTGATATAATGTCTTCCTAGTTTCTGTAATCTTTTATGATTACAGGGTAGTGTGTAGTGGTATAAAAAGTTACTCTTGTACAATATTGAGAAGTCTTGAAGATTTAAAACAAAAGAATGGGGTATAAGAATGCTTCAATCCAGATACTAAATAACAGACAAATAAGCAATGTAGCAATTGTTAAAGACTTAATACTACATTAATTTTTTTTTTCTTTAAAGGTTTTGGGCTTTTTTCTTTGTTTGCTTTATCATAATGTTAAAGGACTGTAGACTTTTAGCATTTGTTCCAAATTACTAGATTTTTCAGCAAGTGGTTTTTTATTTTGAGTGACATTTTAGATTCTAGGAGTAGTATAAGGATTTGTTTCTGTTGCCACTTCTGTCAGCAGCTGCCTGTGGCAGAAGTAGGTTTTGGACGCATTTGTCTTTAAGCAGAAATACAAATGCCTGATTTGGCAGACTCTCACAGCAGATTTTGTAGCTGCCTATTGAAGTCTCCTGTCCTGTATTGTATTGCAGAACAGTGAGGCTTAAAAAAAATATCATCAGCCTTGACTAACAGTTGCATAACCAAGCTCTGTTGTTAAAAATCAGGCTGCATTTCAAGGCAACAGGTAAGTTTGAGGAGAATTAATTTTTTTTTTTTTTAAATTTTCATTTCTAGGAAAACTTGGCTATATATTTCAAGAATTTCTTACAAGTTTGAATAGTTAAACCCTCCCTCTGGAACCAGTAGATAAAATTCTACACATTAAACACAGTAAAAATGGTGCATATTCTGCAAAGGACAGAATTTTAGATTAAAGTTGTCTGGGCACAAAAGCAGTAACAAAATGATCCCTACAAAACAGAGTGACTTAATAACACAAGAGATAACTTTTGTTAATTTGAAGCTGTAGAAACTGAAGCTCGTAAAGTAAGATGTAATTAAATTATGCCACTGTACATACCGGTTGTTCTTGGTAATCGAAACTTTACAATATGAAAAATACATTACATCTGTACAGTTTATACAGGTAGGTAGGATGAGTTTTGAAAAAGATTCACTTTCAAGGGTCGTACTCCGAAGTCAAAAAAATACTGCACAACCGAACTAATTACAAATTGTAGACTGGAAACGATTAATCTTTGCGATCGACTTTTAATTTGCACAGGGATCCTCCGCTCCACAGAAGTGCTCACTCGTGTCCACAGCTTTACACGGGACTTGCTTGCAGCCCCGCTCCAGGAGCCCCTAGGGCAGCTGCTGCCCGTGCTCCGCGATCCGCGCTGCCGTGGTGATTGTGCTCAGGTCCAGCTCAGCCTCCAGGCCCGTGTCCGCTGCCTCCTCCTGCCTGCTGGCCTCGTAGGGCTTGTGGGCCAGCAGCTCGTGGTGCACCCCGCAGTAGCTCAGCGTGGGCTGGTCGTAGGCCAGGAACGTCGACATGTTCATGGACAGTGGGATCTGGGGCAAAACCAGAGGGGAGAAGCAGCAGTTACCAAACCGCATTACCAAATGGTTCTTGCCTGAATTGCACGTTGGAAAACCAGACTGTCTGCTCTCTGTATCCCTCTGCCACACCTTGCTCTTCTCCGGGATGTTTTAACCCTGACCACCAGCGTGGATCTCGAGGCCCAGGGTTGTGTATATGCTTGAATGTGTTTGAGAAGATTAAGATGTGATCCAAGTTAAATTATCTTTAGAATGTAATTAACCTCAGCTATAATCGCTCTGTCAGGGAATATTGCACGTTAAATGTAAATGCTTTTTTAAGTGGTGGCTTGAATTTGTCAGTGAGTGTGATACCTTTGGTCTGCTTGGAAATACAGGTGAGAGGGTTCCTACTGTTGAAGTGCTTGGGGAAGGAGACCTCAGCCCCCCTGGCATTGTAACTAAACAGGGAACATCCCTATTTGTATCTCCTCATTTGCAGCTTTCCTTCCTGTTTTCATTCCTTCTGGGATGTGTCTCAATAAAATTTCTAGTTATGAAAACCTCCTGTTTTTGAAATTAATAAGTAATCTAATAACATCACTGCAATTTTAGTAGTTCTCATCTCTGACAGCAATTCTGGAGTAAAACCCACAGCAGTGTTTGATTACCAGTGATATGTGAGCTTCATGTTGTTTGGAGTTCAGGTTCAGGTGAGCATCAGGATGCCCTAGCTTATCTTAGATTTACAGCTCAGAAGCCTTCACATTGCAGTTTCTATTCAAGGAGGCATCTGTTCTGCAAGCTGAATTTCATTTCATAGTATTACATTTCTGTGCAATGAGGGGGAAGTTCTGGCAATCCTCTATCTTTTCAGTCAGGAAGGATAAAGCTGTAGACTTACTTTACATAGGAAGTGCAGCTAAAAGTTTGTACTTACAAAACTGTATGGAAAACCAGAATATTTTTTAAAATAATTCTGTTCAGCCACGAAAAGCATGTAGTCCAGTGTTTGGAATGTTTATTTTTTTTTTTCTTTATTTTTCTTTTGATCATCACTGGCCGTTGAAAGGTGACATGGGGTAAAAGGAAAGCTCCTATTTTTTTTCTTTTAAAAAAAAGGAGGCAGATAATTTGGGTCTGGTCTCTCTGTAGCAATTACAGGGGTCTGGGTTATTTTCTCTCGCCTGCAGAAGTGTATTTACTTCTAAACAGATGTGAACTGGTTGGGGAGGAACGCTTGTAGCTCCAGATGAATATCTCAGTAGTTGGCAAAGGTGGGAAAGGTTCTTGCAAAGGCCTTACAGGATTTATTAAGCTTCTGCTGTTGTGCCTGTGTTCCTACGTGATTGCTTGACCTTGACTGCACTTTCATAAGACACAAAATTGCATTTTTTTCTGAATGTATTGTATTTAGAATTAGTGGCAATACTTTCAGCCTAAGGATTTTGGTATTTTGTTAAATTTCATGGGCATGGGGTGTTCAAACCTTTTGGGGCAATTTCAAGACTCAGCCATAGAATCCTGAGAATGAAAACTCGGAAAATAAAGGCATATGGGGACAGACACAATTCTGGGTAGCTTGAGAATGTTGTGATGGGAAATTACAATAGGGCAATGGAATATTTTCCTTGAAGATGACAGAGCTGGAAAACAGATGATCATGAAGAGAAGGGGTGAACATAAACCACACTGAAACAGGAGAATAAAATGAACTGAAGGATGGAAGCAACAGAAGTGATAGAGCTGGGATGTGTCATTCTGAAAATGTACAGAATTGCAGTGTAAGGAGAATGTCATAAACAGAATAGGCAAAGGAATGTGGTGTGTCAGCATATGGTCAATATGTGAGAATTTCATCTGTTTCATATTCAAGTTTTGCTGTTGCCTTCAGTTAAAAAAAGGAGCAAGCCCTCATAATACACATCAGGGAACTATACAGCTTTTATGGACACATATCAAAATGAAATGCTTTATTTGTGGCCATGGGAAGATTCTTGTTATTTCAAATGAACTTCAGACTGATACTTCACCATCCATCAGTTTGTCTCTGTGACTTTTTTTCCTTAAGGACTCTTAGGACAGGGCTAATGTTTTGTATCTACATTTACAAAATGTTTTGTACCTACATTTACATCTCCTGCCTCTGTACCCCTGCATTTAAGTTCTCCCTGTAACTTAGGCAGGTCTTGCATGTAACAAGTCCCTTAATTTCTCTCTAGAATGCCCTAGAACTGTCTGATAGCCAGTTATGGAAAGAAGATACCTATCTGATTATCATCTTGTCCCTTTTTTTTCATTGTCTGCTTCTTCAAGCACTTAAAACTGCTGTGCTGTGAAACAAGGGAGATACTGAAACTTTAGTTAAAGGAACAGATAAATCTGTTACAGCCAATATGTGATGGTCATGAATTTAGAGTTCAGATCCTTTTGGCTCCCCTACCAGGAAGTAATTCAGCTGTGGGGGGTGAAGTTACCAGAAGTTATTTTTGGTGGCAATTTGCATACACTGTGAGGAGGCCATGCTGTAAGGCAGTGAATGCTTTGGGCTGAATTGTTGTCCCTTGAACGTGCTGATAAAGGATGGCTGCAGGAATCTCTAGTCACTCCTAAAGACCTCTGTTTTCCTTCAAACTTCTCAATTCTTAGGTGGTTCTTTCGTGTTTACATATTTCAACCTTTCCAAGTCCAAATTCTTAAGGCCTGGTAAAGGGCAGTGGATTGTTGGATCAGCTGCTGAGCTTTGGCACGAGATGTCCCAGGGACAGGCATCAACTCCGCTAATTTCCCTGTCAGTGGCACGGAGGAGTTGAATGCAAAGGGAAAGTTTTTTTCAGGCTTTTCCCTGCTTCTCTCAAACTCATTTTCTACTCAGTTCAGGCTGTAATTAAAATCCTACCAAAAGTATAAGCAGCAAGAATAGCTTTCACTGAACAGCAAAATTGTTCTTCACACAAATGTTAATGGCCTCTTAGTGAGGGAGAATTGTGTTTTGTCTTCAAAGGGCACACCTGTCCAGGTGTACGAATTTCCAATACTGAGGAACTCTGCTACATAGTCATGGCATGGTTCATGTGTCCTGCTTGGCTTTGGCAGTTTTCCTATTCTAACATGTTCATCTGTGGTTACCTTGGGGTCCCACATTGTGAGAAACAATGCAACTGAATTCAAAGAGGTGCTTTGTGCCCAGCCTTCACTGCTGTGTCACACTAAATTGCACATTCCTGGCAGAGGAGGACCAGAGTGAAGAAGCAAAGGGCAGATGAGGAACCTGAAATACTTTTAAGTGTTTTAAACCATCACTTGAGCCACTCTCAAGGGAGGACCCATTGTCTCCATGGCAGTAAAAACAAAATAATCTCTTACTGAAGTAGCTGCTGTGTCTAGACTTCAGTTGTTTCAGTGACTGAATGCCCTAGGTTTATATTAATACTAAAACAATCTTTACTAAGTGCATGATTAGAATTACAGTCCATCTGTAATTGCAGTCTTTCCTGTTCAGTGTTCAACACGACTTTTCAGTAATTTATGATGCAGCACATTCCCTAGGAAAGGGAGGGTGGCATTAGACAGTAAAAATCACCTTGACAAACAAAGACCAGAACTTTTGAAGCTTTGCCTTGAATGTTGGACACTTGACAGTAGGGTGGTATTTTCTGAGGTTTGGAAGAGAGGGTAGAGACCATTCAATCAATCACAGATAGGTTCCATGGGAAAACAAGGCTTTTTTTTTTTTTAATGTCAATGTAGATTTGATATCTTAAAGCAGGAGGAATTGAAAAAAAATTCTCAGCAATTTGCACATACTAATTTTGACATTCACCTTTACCAGTTTCTGAAATGCCAGAGTGGACAGCTGCTAACAGCTACTGAGCCCTTTCTTCTCAATTTTAAGAAGATGATAACGAAGAGGAGAAAGCAGAAGAAAAAGGTTTTGTATTCCACTGATTCAGTTCACTGGGGTTCAGGCTAAGACATAATGAGCCATGGTTTCCTAGTTGCTGGACATTTTGTCTTTCATGTTGTTAATTTTCCTAAAATTTGTACAGGGTGATATTTACTTAAAATCTTTCCTTCCTGCAAAGAATGTGACATTTGTAAGACGAGAACAACTTGTGTCTTGATTAGCTCTAATTGCATGCTTGACTCGGAAAGGAGTATGTATTACATTTTTTCAGTTAGACACTTATGCTTGCTAATGATGTTAGAAAAATGAACAAGTTATAAATACTCTTCTGCCTGACAAAGTAAATATCTCCTTGCCTTTTTATTTTTTTTAATTTGTCTGTGTGGATTCTTTTGGTTATGTGGGTTTTTATTTGTTGGTTGGTTTGGTTTTGTTTTGTTTTTAATTTGAACAACCTGCAGTTTTGTTTCTTTTCAATAGCAGTCTTTCAAGTTCTAATGTAGTAAAGTGAATTAAGGAAGTAGGTATGAGAGTGTGTGTCTAAATAAAGATTAATCCATTTAGTTGCTTGAAATATGGTTCATAATATTTAATAGAGGTGTACATTATCCTAAAGTAGCTCTAAAATGTTATTACAATTAGATCCATATCTAACTGAGCACTAACCTTTTTAGGCTTCTCATTTGTTTTTAATTTGTGTGTAAAATTTGGTGTTTATCAGATAGGCTCTGCAGGCACAATTACTGAGGTATCATTTAAAAACAACAGCGCTGAACTTTGTGGGACTAAACGTGAATCAACACAGACAGAGCTTTTACTTTAGATGCTGGATAAATAATGGACTCACATGGAAGTATTGCCTAGCAAGCTTTTGCTGCAGGTAGAAGAAGGGAGCTCTCTTTTGTCTTTGTAAGATTTGTTGCAGCTTGTACAACCTGAGCATCGTGCTTTATCTTAGTTACAATTCTCTATTTAGCAATCAATAGATTATCTTGAAATACAAGGGAATTGTATTAATAAAAGCACATTAAAAAAGACACCTTTGAAAAGTGAATCTGTAGAGATGTCTCAGAGAATGTGTGTTTAAGCCACATATGTAGGTAATGTGCATATATTGTACATGCAG